TAGGATTGCCCTATATGCTGTAATGAGCTAGTGGATTTCAGAAGTGAGGATTGGACACTTACACGATCTGCTTGAAGGAGAAGTGCCGAAGCGTGAGTTCTGCGATCTCTAGTGGCAGGACCGTAAATGGGTCGCGCCGGTTTCCACCTGCCAGCTTATCCTGCAGCTTCTTGAGCAGCTGCACGAGGGCCTGGATATAGTTAGTAAGAGAAAAGGGAGAGTAAGAGACGATAGATAGTAGGGAAAGAAGAGATCCAAGGAATATTACGACAGAAATACCATATTCAAGGATGAACAGAAAAAAAGGAAAGAAAGAAAGAAAGAAAGAAAGAAAGACATACATTGCGGCCTGGGCGATCAGCTGGAATTTTCTGGAGGGCATATTCGTAGATTTCACGGGCCTTGTCAAAGTTCCCATCTAGACACAGGACCTTGGCTAAGCGCAGGTATCCCTTTTACCAAAGTCAGCCATGGATCCATAACTGGGAAAAAATTCGTTGAGGTGGATAGATACACGGTCGTCATTGGGTGCAAGCTTGACCATAGCTCGGGCATCAGCGCGGGCCTGGCTGTACAGTTTCAACTTGCAATAGGTGGCGGCGCGGTTATCCAGAATACCAATGTCCTCATTGTTTGCCACCAATGCCTAGATGTACGGATGATTAGTATAAGTCGCGACGGAACAAGCAAGGTAAGGCGTACCTCGGTGAAGGACTCAATGGCGCCCTGGAGATCACCAACTTTGTAGGCATTTTGGCCTGCTCGCTGAAGAGCAGCGGCTTGCTCTATGTCGGCCTTCTTTTTGGATGTTACTCCGCGTACTATACGCGTACCTGATCTTGAAGCCATGTCGAAGAGCAGATGCAAAGGCGGTTGGTGAGAATCCAGCAGTAGTGGGGCAGGAACGAGTGTTTAACACCACGCAAGGGACAAATCGGACATGGGGGTTGGGTGATAGCTTATACCCACGCATTCTGTAAATGCCAACGCACTATGTTACCTTCAGGATATCATTCAGTTGCTTCTGGATAGCAAGTTTGGCTCTTTTGGCTTTGATAAATGGGTATGTTAATGTCAATACCTCTTGATCAAAGCTTCGAAGGAATACCAAATTAAATTGGAGAGTTTGACGCATCGCGATACGATTGCGCAAATAGAGCGGGCAGAATCACACCTCCTGCCTCACCGTCAAAAGAACTGCCCACATGGCACAAAGAGTCCCCCGTACTTGCCGTGTTTACTTTCTTCCCCATTCGGCATTCGGAGTTATCTGCATCGACAATAGAAGCGATCGCTGCCATGGAGTCGCATAACCTGCAGGCAGCTTCGAGCTATGTCAACAATATTTTGCTGGCAAGGGGCCTGCTGAAAGGTGGTCGCGCTATCGATTTTGCCAACCCAGAAAATGAAGATGGAGGGATAGACGGCACCATGGCTCGTGTGATCAACTTGGTCAACGATTTAGTGTTGAGACGAGATGTGCGTCTCTGCTGCACCGAGATGTGACTTGGCTAGCGACTGACAAATTTTAGCGCGAGTCCGAACACCGCGAGAGCTTATCTACGACTATTCGCACGCTGCGAGCCAGCGAGGCGGAGCAGACCACGGAGATCGTATGTCTTCACCTTACTTACGCCGCACAGCGCGCTAACCTTCATTGCTTCTGCAGGGAAAACTGAAAACAAAGACATCCGAGTTGACCCGCTCGCTAGCTCTGGCAGAGGCGCAGGCGCGCACCCTCAAGTCCAGTATGTCCAGCGCCGAAGCGAACATCCGAAGTTTCAAGGAACAAGTCCAGCGCATGAAAAGCACCGTCCAACAAGTCCGAGCACAATGCGCCAACGATATTCGCAAGCGGGATTTGGAAATGCAGAAGCTCAAATCGCATTTGGCTGAGAGACAACGAGGCAAGCGCGAGGGTCTGAGTGTGACTACTATCAACATCAACCCTGCCTCGGATCGATCACGTCTTCTGGCTAGCGGTGGAGAAAGAGTAAATGACCCTGGGTATAGCTTGAAGCAGGAAACAACCGAATTCTTGACCGAATTATGTCAGCATCTCAGTGATGAGAATGATACCCTGATCGAGCTTGCGCGAAATACTGTTCACACTTTGAAGGATCTACAAGGGTTGACGCAGGCTGAAAATGGGAATGGCGAGAACGAGCAATCGAGCATGTCTATGAGCGTAGGAGCTCAGAAGTCTTCTTCAGGGCCCGTTACTTCGCTTCCAACCTCGTGTGACGAACTATCCATTCATATGGAAGCAGTGCTAGATCATCTACGAACACTGCTTACCAATCCCTCATTCGTGCCTCTAGAGGAGGTTGAGGTGAGAGACGAGGAGATCAAAAGACTGCGTGAAGGCTGGGTGAAGATGGAATCTCGATGGAAGCAGGCAGTTACCATGATGAGTGGGTGGCAGCGCCGTCTTGCAGATGGAGGAGATTCTATCCAAGCGGATGAATTGAAGCGTGGAATGAATCTCGATCTCAGCATCGACTCAACCGAGGACATGAGCATACAAAGCTTGCCTGAGTCCAATCCCATCCCGACAATCCTGGAGGACCAAGATGAGGAGGAAGATACGAGCGAGCCAGAGGAGAAATCACCAGACCCCGAGATGCTCAATCCACCGAAGATGAGGTCCAAGATTCGCAAAGTACCCGAGCGACCCGATCGCGTTCTGAGGGAACGCAGTGAAAACGCCATGACAAAGCGTCCCCGGAAGGTCTCATTCACGCCAGGTTTACAAGGCTCACCATGTGTGGAAGCTACCGACGACGATACCCTCAAAATCAAATCCTACAAAACCTCGACTGTGACGCGCAGGCCACCCAGACGGAAGACCGAAACAAAGGAACCCCATCAGGTATGCAACGAGAACGATTTCCCAGAACATTCCCCCAGAGATTCCCAGGAGGTTCCCAATGAGATCCGGAGGACTAATTCGCCCTGCAGCTTAAACCCCACGAGTCACTAAGCGTGCACCAAAAACTGGCCGCCGTCGAAGACGAGGCCCGCGCCGCTCAAAATGAGCAAAAGGAGCGCGAATCACGAAAGAGAAGCCGACCCGAGAAGGCTTCCAGACCAGCAAGCCGGCGTCGGAGTACTCTCACTGCTGATGAGCTCGACGATCTGATGGGTTTGGCCCGGTGAAAGATCAATTGATACCCCGCACTAGTCTGCATTGTACATACTTTCAGCGAGTGCATGTAAATATGGAGTCACTTTTGCGAAATCGCGTACGATTGACATGAATCTAATAATGTATCACTATTTCGGAGTTAAAACGGACCTCGGTAACTTTGCCTTTAGCTTCTCCGCATCATATGCCGAGCTTGTTTCTTCCGCGCGCATATTTACCTTAAATTTACCTTGACCCGTTGAACCTCACAAGAAAGCGACTCGCCATTCTGAGCTCTCTAATTTCAAACACCGCAGGAACATGCCAAAAGGCTTCCAATTGCCAATTCCATCCCTCAGCACAACTCCTACCCGTTGACCTCAGCGCAACCACCACCAAACTATGTCCTCTGCAACAGAAGCAGACACCTTCAAAGGCTGGGTAGCCCGCGACGCCAAAAGCCCCCTGACATACAGAACATACACTCCAAAACCATTCACGCCCACCGACGTGGAAATCTCCATCTCCCACTGTGGCATCTGCGGCACCGACATCCACACCCTACGATCAGGCTGGGGTCCAGCCGACTACCCGTGCGTAGTCGGTCATGAGATAATCGGGACAGTAACACGCCTCGGCAGTGCCGTCTCATCCCAGTCCAACCCCAACGCCATCCGCCTCGGCGACCGCGTCGGCGTCGGCGCACAAAGCGGCGCCTGTCTACGCGCCGACTGTGAAGCCTGCGCCGACGGAGAGGAAAGCTACTGCACCCGCATGACAGGCACGTATAACGGACGGTACAGCGACAAGTCAAAGTCGTATGGCGGGTTTGCTGAGAAGTGGCGTGGTCCTGCGCATTTCGTATTCCGGATTCCGGATTCTCTGCCCTCGGCTGAGGCGGCGCCGTTGCTGTGTGCGGGTGTTACTGTTTTTGCGCCGATGAGGAAGTATGGGGTTGGGCCTGGGAAGACGGTGGGGATTGTTGGGGTTGGGGGGTTGGGACATTTGGGGATTTTGTTTGCTAGGGCGCTTGGGGCAGATCGTGTTGTCGCTATTTCGCGATCATCTGGGAAGAAGGTGGATGCTGTTGGTGGGCTTGGGGCTGATTGGTTTATTGCTACGGGTGAGGAGAAGGGGTGGGCGAAGAAATACTCGCGCTCGCTTGATGTTATCTTGTGTACGGTTTCGGCACATGATATGCCCTTCGCGCAGTATTTGAGACTGCTTAAGCGGGATGGGACTTTTGTGCAGGTTGGGGCGCCGGAGGATGCGTTGCCGCCGCTTATGGCCTGGAGCCTTATTCAGAAAGGTGTTAAGGTCACTGGGTCGAATATTGGTTCCCCGAGTGATATTCGAGCTATGTTGGCTCTGGCTGCGGAGAAGAGGGTCTTGCCTTGGATTCAGAAGATGGATATGGTGGATGTTAATCGGGTGCTAGTTGATATGCATGAGGGGAAGGCGAGATATCGGTATGTGCTGCAAAATGGGACTGAGCAGGCGAAATTGTAGGTTTGGGTAGATAAAAAAAAAGATTTTAACCCTTTTACTCCGTGTGAGATCTGCACTATGTCCTGGTATCCACTTGATAGAAAATATTAAGAATTAGGCTCTCGTATCCCGTACCTTACTCCTAATCGGGTCTAGCGGGTTATCCACCCATTCCATATCGGGATAGCAATACGAAAGTGCGAGTATACGAACTGTCCTTCCATATAACCACGAATTTCGTTTCCAATGGTTGCCTGGAACCCCTTTTAGATTTAGAGAAAATTCTGATTTACCACACATATAAGACTGGTCTTTAGTTTTGTTTTCCAAGTCATGAATTCAATCCAACCTTGCCTGCCTCTTATCTACTCAATCCACATTCAAGATGTCTTCTTCCCACCCCGGCTGGACCGCCTATGAATACTACCCCTCAATGGGGGCAGCAGTAGTATTCGTCATATGCTTTGCAATTGTCACTTTAATGCACACATTCCATTTGTTCCGCACAAGAACATGGTTCTTCATCCCGCTCGTCATCGGCGGATACTGTAAGTACCACCTTATACCCATATCCAAGCAAACTCCAGACATCCCCAGTACTAATTTCCTGCTAGTCGAGCTAGTTGGATATATCGGCCGCGCCATGTCATCGAAGGAATCGCCTAATTGGACCATCGGACCCTATGTTATGCAGAGCACATTGCTGCTCATTGCCCCGGCGCTGTTCGCAGCTAGTATCTACATGGAATTAGGTCGCATTATTGTTATGGTCAAGGGGGAGCAGTTCGCGTTGATTCGGGTTAGCTGGATGACCAAGATATTCGTCGCGGGTGACATGTTGAGTTTCTTGATGCAGGCTTCTGGTACGCTTCTTCCCCCCTCTGTCTATTCTTCACAATCGGTTTGGATCGTTGGTTCTTTCGAAGCTCAATGCTAATACTCCCACAGGTGCCGGGATAATGGTGAAAGGCACAAGCTCCACCGACCCGTCATCCTCCACGAGCACCGGCCAAAACGTTATCATCGGTGGCCTCATCGTGCAAATCGTCTTCTTCGGCTTTTTCCTGATTAGTGCGTTCATCTTCCAGCGGCGCATGGGCTCGCACCCCGAACCTCGTGCAGTGGCGGACCAGTACCCATGGCGCAAGCATATGTGGGCGTTGCACTCGTCCAGTATCCTCATTCTCATTCGGTCCGTCGTTCGTGTTGTTGAGTATGTCCAGGGTACGCATGGTTATCTCATGGAGCATGAGGTTTTCATTTATGTCTTTGATGGATTGTTGATGTTTGCCATGATGGTCATTTTCGTGATCGTTCACCCTAGCGAGGTGAATTATCTTCTTGGGAGGGGAAGAGTCGTAACGGCTATGGGTGGGTTGAAGGCCATGGAGGGCTCGAGCGCGGTTTAGCGAGTTATGATGGAGATCTGTTGCGATAATTGTGGGAATATTCCGGTGGAGATTTCGATTGTTTTTCTTTTGATTTGGTAGAATTCCTTCCGTGGTTTTGGCGTTTTGAACTTGGGTATATGAATATGAATATGAATATGAATATGAATATGAACATATAAGAAAAGGTCAAGTGCCAACCTGTTCGAGAAAGTTAACACCGAGGGTCTCTTCCATTGCCCAATGGACCAGCGGCCTCCACTGATCGTCCAAAATTGCCCACACGGCCTTGGAGACCCTGACACACCACTCGCCAAAGCACCAACGATGCTTCAAGTAGTGCAAAAGCACGCCATACTGCGCCAACAAAACTAGTGCCAAGGGGTCTCGTTCGAGCAGCAACTCCATAAACCGAGGATGCAAGCGGATAGCCCACCTCCCGGCAATCGTAGTCGACCTCATCCCGCTATAGCACCAACTGAGCATTTCCTCCAGATTGGCAATGGACCCTTCGTAAACCTGCGTTTCATGATTTGGATCCCGCGCCCCGCAGACTTCGTTCGCCTCGCGCAGTTGTTTGAGCATAGTGCTCGCGTCGTCAGGAATCGGACCCTGAACCTCCTCAACCTGCAAAATCGGTCCGAAAGAACTGTCCACTAGAAAATTTCCAAAGTCCCGTGGCGCACGAATAACCTGCTGCACGCCACGCGTCAAAACAAGAACCTGGTACAAATCGTCGACGCAGGACCATGGATCCTGCGCGTCCGGCGTATGCGGGAATGCAAACGTGTAGATAACCACAATACCCGCAAAAGCAAACATCGCCTTGGCATTACTCTCATTCACGTCACCCAGCAGCTCCCGGAACAGCGCCAGCGCTTGATTCTGGTGCGCAACGGCGCGATTGAGATACGACGCTCGACGGGTCGGCTCCGGGCCTGTTCGAGCGAGATGCAGTGATGACAAGGCCAGGATGCCGTGCATCAAAAATGGATGCGAAAGTGCCTCTTCGGGCACAAAGGTGCGCCAGATTTGATCAGTGCGCTCGTTGCGTGACAGCGTCTGGAATGTCGTGTTGCACCACTGTATCATCAGCTCCAGGTCGTTGAGGTTCAGTGCGGACGCGGCTGAGTTTGAGGCATTTTCGCTGCCCAGTTGGCTCAAGATTCCGAGGGAGTCTGCTGCCCCCGCTCCTGTGGTTGAACTTAAGGGTGAACGAAGTCCCGATAATGAGTCGCCTGCCTGCCCGCTGTCGGATCCTTCATTTGCCCACAGTAGAGAGGTTGACGACCCGTACTCACATTCGGAATGGCGGTTTGCGCAGTTGGTGCAGGATGGCCGGGCTTCATCGCACTGTGATGTGATTAGTGTGCTACTTTTTTTTTTTTTTTTTTTTTTTTTTTTTTTTTTTTTTTTTT